AAGGACTTTCAGTCCATCTACACAAAAGAATTAACAGGAACATTTCCCACAGAAACTGGCCTGTATGTGCAATGAAAGGCTTTCCCCATGCTGAAATGTGAATATGAAAGTAAGCAGTGATGCTCTGGGTGCTGAAACAAGGATATGAAGTGATTCACCCCAGCCAAATCAGAGCAGTGGTTCTCTGACTCTATGGGTAAGAGCAACCTAGAGCAAGAACACCCTGATTCCTTGCTAAACACAGTAAGAAACTGCTATAACACAAATACATCATCTGTTGACAAATTGCTATAACACAAATACATAATCTGTTGACAAACATTTGCACCTGTAATGCAAACTGAACTGATTTTAGAAACTATTTGGAGATTTTAAATATCATAACAGCAATGCTGATCCTTGTTGCATAAACCCCATTGCTTTTACATGTGATATCTGTGTGCCTCTGTACAGGTTACTATACAACCAACATAGTTATCCACTAATTGCCAAAGATTAGAAATGACAAGCAGAAGAAAAAGGAGGAAAAAATGAAAAAAGAGATAGGAAAGAAGTAAATAAAAATGACAAGGAAAAAAAGTAAATTCAGGGAAATTATGTTGCCATGTTCCTCTTATTTGAGGGTAAACTATCCAGAAAGTAGTTGATGCTTAGACACACTATCAACAGTACATCAAATTTAGGGGGGGTTAAGTGTCAAGGCTCAGTCTGATACAATATAGTGTAACTTGATCCAGATCCAGCCAAGCCATTGGACCAATGTTTAATTTTCAGTTTGTGAGCAATGCCACTGAAGGCAAACTTCTTGTGGCTTCAAAAACAGTAGATATTTTACTTTCTTAAACTCTTTCTTGGGTAAAAAGGAGGTTTACTGCTATGTTGAAATACCTAAAGATCCTGATTGAAGTCCCAAAAATACTTTTAAACATTACTTTAGAGCCCTTATGCTGAATTAAGAAAGAACTAGTTTGGCTCTGGTTTCTTAAAGTCATAAAATGATCAGTAAAATCTTTACTCAAATCACTTGTCTCATATTTACAGTTATTTTTTTCACAGCCAAGAGGGCTCCAAACATTTCAAAATGTGAATACAGAGACTCCTGTGTTGCTAGTCTTGTCTCTGGGAGCTGGTGTTAAAAAAATCAAAACAAAAACCTAAGGCTCTTATAAAACCATAAGAATTGTTGATTTTGAATGTACTCTGCACCTTGTTCATTTGAACCTCCTGAGGATTTTACTGAGTGAAACAGACAAGGATTATTTCCCTCTCATTCTGGGGGATGCTCCTGTAACCGTGCAAGCCCAGTTGGAGAACTGCAGCAATGAAATGTTAACTCAATCTGAATGAAGAAAACCTGCTTTCCTTTCCCTATATCCTCCATACTCACTTTTGTCCCCACACTTTGCAGTCTCTGCATTTCATCTCACTTAAAATATGACAGTCTCTCTCTGTTAGAAGCAGTTGCTTGAGAAGCCCTGCTGGCTACAATGTGTGGTGCTGAATGGGAGGAAATGAACTTCAGCTGCTGAAAGAGCTTCTTCTGGAAACTTATGGGAACCAGGTCCCAAGATTCTTCTATCTGATTTAAAAGCCCTTTAGTAAAGATATCTATCTAAACATTTTAAAACAGATCTTTTCATTCATTCCTGAATTGAGAATAAAAGCAATCTGATAAAAAAAATTACACAGGCTACACGCCAAAGCAGAAGCAGTATTCATTGGTCTTGGAATATAGTTCTTTTACTGGAAGCATTTCAAAAATAAGGACCATGGCCATCACAAAAAAAACAAAACAACAAAAAATTCCCAACCCAACAAAAAACCCAGACCCAAACAAATAAACAAAACCCAGAACCAAAACAAAAACCCAAAACCAACCAAACAAAAAGCCAAACAAAAAATAATGCTCCCTCCCCAAAAACCCCCCAAAATCAGCATATTTTAGCAGGCACTCCTCAGAATAGACTTGACTTTTCATCCTCAATTATCAGTTCATAAATCTAGAATTTCTCAGTTGCTAGCAAATTTGTGAAGGTCACCGAACAAGGACATAATGAAGTTATTGTGATTTAGGAAATTTAAAACAATATGAACTATTTTCTTTTCACGGTGCACTGGATTTTCCAGAGATGTTCCCTTTAGCAAAGGGCCAGGAGAAAACCAAAACCCAGAAACATGCAAGAAAGAAATTCCCTTTCAACCACCAAGATCGATTATCTGCAAATAAACTTGGATATATTTTCCTTTTGGATTAAATTAAATAGCTGATAATGGTTTAATTTTAAAGTTTCAAGTATTCAAAAGTAACACAAGCTTTAGGAGGATTGGGGAAGGACCATGAATTTATAAGGCAGCCCAAACACATTCCCCATCAAAGGAATCACAACTTCTTGAGGAGGTACCAGGACAAGCCAATATCCAAACTCACTGATGTAGCAAGCCTTGGACTCCCACAGAAAACTGTAACACAAGAACACCTTGATTCCTCACTGCCAGAACATGACTCCTTTTGTTTCCTTTGAACAGTGCATGGCAATGCACACCTCAGCATCCTCACATCTGAAGTTTCTGTGTGAGATTGACAGGAATGAATGCCTCAAAAAAAATCAGTAACTAAAGTCAGGATGATGAACCTTCATTTTGGCATCTAGCAAGCCAATTCTTCTTCCATTTTCAAAATGGCAAACAGAAAAAAAGTTTTAATTTCATTTCATCCCAAAATAATTTGGTAATCCTACTCTGCAAAACAAGATGAAACAAAAATAAAGTGACAAAACACAAAGTCTTCCATCTTATTACCCGCTCATGCATGCAAACTGACAGTCTTTTCTTCATAATGATTTACCAGAATATTCTCTTACAACATAAAACAGAATGAAAGTGTCTGCTTTTAGCATCCCAAGTATATACAAAACACCCTCTATTTTTTTCCTTGCTTTTCTGTCCTTGCCTTCTTTTCAGTAAATAAAACCAATCTTCCAGTTGGACCTTACAAGACATTTCCTATTATTTGCTGCCCATTTTCAAATTACAACCACAATGATTCTGACCTTATGGCTGGCAGAATCTGTGGGAATTACTTTTAGTAAGAAGGAAGAACAATTTTTTCTGTCATCCTCAATAGCCCCATTTGCAAGGGTTTGGTTGAATAAAACCAAATAATCACTTTCTGGACAGAATTCAAATATCAACAAGATTAATTCAGAAATAAGACACTGTATTTTGGAGTAAATGGCAGCAGCCTCTGGAATGGGAGCAGCCATGTTTCAATAGGCATAGCAGGTATCACTGCTGCTGTGGCAGCAATGCTGCTCTAATGGGCATTAAACTGACATGATGCAGACATTGAAAAATAAAGTTCAAGTACAAGGCTGTGCTTGCATGGGATGTGCCCTTAAATGATCTGTGTTCATCAATGACAGATTGTCAGAGATGGGAATTAATAAAGCAAAGCTACTGCTGTAACTATACAGACTGAGCTCACGTCTGGGAGAGCCAGCAAAAATCTTCTTCCTCCTTTACCTTTTCCCTGACAATTGCAGTGAACTGCCACACAGAAGGAGCAGCAGCTAGCTCCTCCTGGGCTGGAGTGCCTGGGAATCATCACAGTGTGAGACTTGATATCCAAGCCCAAACATATTTACATTAGAGTAGATCAAATCAAAACTCAAACTTGAGACCAAACATTCCCTGCATCAAGGCCCACAAGGGTGTCAGGTCAAAGATGGTTTGCCAGAACTTTTCATGACAGAAATTAGAGTCTCAGAATACAGAGGTGCAAAATCCTGCTAAAACCATGAGTCATGCAGTTTAGTTTTCCTGAACAGCATTCTTACATTCAGTACCAACAGAGCTGATCAAAACGTTTTCTGTTGACACATTTGAAGAGAAATTGGAGTTTTGATCAAACTAAACCCCAACCTTTTATATTTTTTCTTTTTATAATATCTCTTAATACTGTCAAAATTTAAATTTTTTCACCCACTACTTACTCTTCCATTGCAGTAATGGAACAATTGCATGCTTATGAAAACTGTTGGGTGCTATTAAAATAAATGCAGCAATGTAGAGTCACCACTTTTACATATTATGGATTAGAAGGCAAGAAAAACAAAATTCAGACTGCAGATACTTCATTTCATCACCAGAACAAGGGTAAATAAAACCAAAGTGTAGCAAATGAAGTTCATTGGATACTTTAGAGAGACCAAGAAGAATTTATTGTCAATTTTTGGGACATTGGGCAAACCCACTACTTTTTACCCCATGAGTTTAGTAGATAGCCATACAAAGCAGAGAGCAGTCCCATTTAAAACAGGGCCTTTTACACAGCCCTTTTCTGATAGGAACTGTATTTTTCTACTTTGCATTAATTAGCAAGGGTCATACAGATATCAGCACAGGAGAGAGAAGACAGCTCTGCCTCCTCATTGTGATGGTTTTCACTTCTACCTTTCCAACCAGCCAACTCCCCCCAGCTGTCTGGGAGAAAACATGATGTTTTCATGCAGCTCAGCAAGCCAGGGACATGCAGGCTCTACAGCAGCTCTCACAAACCTGATTGCATTGACTTCAGTAAAGCCAAAGTGATTTTCATCAGCTGAGGAACTGGTCTGACCTGTACAGAACAGGCTACTGTGCACAGTAAAAGCCCAAAGGCTGAAACACTGAAATCCAAGCACCTAGACATAGATAAGAGGGGAACTTTTAGCTCCTTTCAAATGTGCAACAAATTTCCATGGGCTTCAGCACAGCAGGAACTTTCCTGGTGGCAAACTAGGGCTAATTCATCGGCACAACTTCAGCTCACTGATTTATTCTAGATCAGGTCCTGTCCTTAAACTTCGGTGGTAGTGGGGCATATATTCATGACCTAATCCATTATCACAGCATAGAGAAATGGAAGGAATGAAAGCAGCACAAATGAAGATTTTATCACTTAAATAAAATTGAGGACTGTTATTCTTTATATTTACTTCATAGAATCATTCATTTCTTACCTCACAGATACAAGCAAGCTATTGTTCAACTTCAGTTCTCTCAGATTAGGCAGATGCACACCTGTGGGAACAAAATAAAGAATCACTTTTTGGACCTGGGATTAGAGTAAAGGAAAATTATGACAATTACAAGTTGAAGCATCTAATTTTACAAGTATTTCTTAGCTGTTTCTGGCAGGCCTGTCCTGGACTACTTCTAAGAAAATCAATGAGATTATTTCACTCAAAAACTATTTCATTCTTTGCATTTTTGACACATACATGTATTGTCTGCATGACTATCCAATTACAATTTTTGAACCCCTCACTGGAAACTCTGCTATGGCACCTTGCTGGACAGACAAGAAAAGAAACTGGCTTGATGTGTGACTGTTTTCTTTGGTCTGATTCCCCATCCTGATTGACTTTTAACTGAGTGATACTCTACACAGCTAAGGGATACTTTAGAGTATAGCATTCCATGACCTATTTAATGGCAAGTAGTGATGGACTTAATGGATACACAGCCAAGTAACACTTCTTCAAAATATAAATTTCAATCAAACAGCAACCACATAATGATCCATAGTCACAACATCATCTTTTACAGTTCACAGGTCCCACAAATGCTACATTTTGCAAAGCATTGCTTTCTTCTTTTAATTTTCTAGATACAACTGTCTACCATTTAATTGTACAAGTTTCATACCTATAAAACCCTCAGTATTCTTTTGTTATTAATTTAATTAATGTGCTTTGTTTTGTATCCCTGAGAGACATTTGCCTTTTAGATTCACTCTAATGGTACCTCTGAACCAAAATCATACACCAAATCCCTCCGAGCTGCAGAGTAACTTAGACACAAGCACAAGTCTCAGAAACCATTTCTTATGGACAGTAGTAAATGTTTACCCATTCACACCAGCAGAGTTTACTCAAGGCTGGTGAGCATCCTCCAATATAACATGCAACCAATTAACATGTAGAAGTAACACCAATTTTAGACAAATTGGACCATTGATGAAACATTAAAATGTGTTCTCAGTAAATATTTTTATGAGTTCTCTGAGTAATCACTGTCTGGCAAGGGTGATTTACCAATGTCCAGAAGGACACCAGTCGAGTGCTTTGCAAAGGATAAAAAAAAAGAAGGGGGAGTGGGATCTCAAAACAAAGAAAGGAGGTCATGTTGTTCATTCCCCAAAGAGAACAAGAGCATTTATGTCAAAAACATTTTAATAAATGATGTTTTAATAGAAGCATTAGCTACATCTCATGTTATTTTGGAGTGATCATAATGCACATATTGATTTTCATGATGTACTGCAAGTATTTCAGTTCATGTTTTTTCCAAGCACTTTTGAAAATACAAAAAATTCAAAACACACTGTGCCATTTTCTAACCTTGTTTTCCAAGCATTTTCCACAATCCACAAAAACTAAGAACAAATTAGAACACAGAGTCCTCGTCCTGCAGGATATGCTTTCTCATGTCAAACAAGTTTTATATGTTTATATGTATATATGGCAACAAAATAATTTGGAGTCCTGGCAGAGAAAATATTAGGATCTCTGTTAATTACTCACAGCAGTCACACTAGCTACTGAGCAAAGACTCCCTCCGATATAAATCATGGCCTAAGAAACTCCTCCCCCCCAAAAAATATCTAGATTCTAAAAAATTTCTATCCTGTTTCTGACAAGGATGGAGAGATTAAATGTCATCCCCTGAAGAGTTAAAGGAAAAACCGAGAGGGCTGCAGTAGCCTCCCCAGTCCCAGCTCCAAACTGAGTAATGGTGCCATGGATTCAGTCAGAGATGTAAAAGGGTTACCAAGCAGAGACTGATGCAAAGCACTGCAAAGCAAAGGAGTTTTAAGGACTAGTGTTAAGCATAAGATTTGAATGAGGAGTCAAGAGAAATGGAGAGACTTGCTCCAGAAAAAGCTTTTCACTGAATGCACTTAGGGTTGGCTCAGGGAAGAAGCAACTATTAAAGGATGCAAAGAGGCTGAATGACAGGCTGATAACACGATTTTCACATCTGGTTAGTTCATTATTGTAACTTGATCCTCCATCTCAGATTTTCTTTTGCACTTTGGCGCAATCTATCCCTGGGAAGTTGTACAGTGTTACACTTTAATGTGTGGTTTATGAGCTTGAAATGGAAGTATACAATGTGTGGTGGTGCAAAATTCTGCAGCGATATTCTGCAATGTATTCCTGCAAGTCTGCAGGTTCTTCCCTCCTCTAAGTTTTATATCAATATGTAATTGTTCTTTGGTGCTAAGAATTCATTGTTCCATTGATTTTGCTGGTTTTTAGAGTCCCAAATACTTATAAATAGATTAGAGGCCAGAAGTTTAAATTAGGAAGAGAAAATTGTAAAATGAAGGTGACAAGATACTTATCCCAATATAACAGTGTATTTCTAATTTCCTTAATTTTAACCCTCATGGCATCTTTCCTCAGAGCAAGGACACATGATACTAACATATAAAAATACTCTAAAATACAATAGTAATTATTTCTAATATTAATTTTAGAAGTAGAAGCAGTAGATTCCTTTCCTTTCTTTGTGTAATTTTGATTTTAAAAAACAAGAATGGTCCACAGAAATGCTGATGATTGCGGGACAAGGGGAGAATTCAGGATGACGAGCAGTGTTATCTCATCTGTCTACGATTCCCTTTCACTAAAGACCGGTTTTGTTACATGGCTCTGAAATTACTAACCACCAACAATGTACTAGTGTTAATCTACTCTACCAGTGGAACAAAACTAAATGAAAGGGCAGAAAGAAATCAGAGTGCAAGTGAGGTGAATAAAAGTGATGGACACACACACTCAACAACAAAGCCTGAAGTGCTGCACTTCACAGGCAGGGTTGCAGTGTAGAGGTGCCTTGGTACTGCTGGTGACATTTAGAAAACTGAGTAGGAGCAAAGAGAAAGCAGCCCAAATGCTGGTTTTATGATATTTTACAAGTTACAACACTTCTAACACTTGCTGTTTACATTATGAAGTATTCTTTAAGTAGCATCATCTATCTTTGTTTTTCTATTGTTAACAAAAAATCATCGTGGCTTGACTTGCATCTTTTGGAACATGAACTAGTGAAAACAAAAAAAGAAATTACTGACAAATGCTTGCATTGGCATCAGGCAACCATCATGCTTTGTTGATCCTACAACACAAAACAGGCATATCAAAACAGGCTGCACTCTTCTAGCAAGAGCAACCTGAGATGCAAATTAAAGAGTCTGTTTAGTTCACTTGAGCTGTGTTTGATCAAGCAAGATACATCACTTTGATGCTATTTCTACACAGGCATTTTTTTGCACATTTCTGGGATGAACTGGGCAGTACAAGTGGAGGTGAGACCACAGCCCCCTTTCAGGCACACCCAAGGCAGCTGCAGTCGAGCTCCCTGTGATGGGGATCTCACAGAAAACACATTAGTGCAGGGCCTCACAAAAGCACACTGCCCCAGTGCACACTTGTGACTCCTGCAGACCCTGCCCAAGCCCTGCTGTGGGGCTTGTCCAAGCCTTGCTCAGCAAGTTTGTCAGCCCCAGCTAAGCCAGGACCACCCTGGGCAGGAACACCCGTGCCAGACTCGCTCCTCCAGCCTCTGTGCTGCTCCCTGGCCATGCAAGCACCTGCTGCTGCCATGCTGGCTGCCAGCAAAGGTGTCCCAGCTCTGCACCCAGAGTGCCAACAAACAGCCCAAGAGGAAAGAGAGATGGTGGCCCTGCATGAGAAATAGCACACGGCTACTTCTGAACCCTTGGCAGAGCTTTGCCTTGATAAAATGCCTGCAAGGGAAGTGGCAATCTCCAGACATGTAATCAACTTAGTCTGGCCACCAGCAGGCAACAATTGAATAAGGACCAGCGAACAGCACTGTGGGTAACTTGATTTGGAGCTATTAAAATTACTTAGGAATAAGAGGACTATGTAGTGTTTTAAATGACTCTATCCCACCATTATTTTCAACAGGAATTTCTATGAGCTGGTCATAAATGCAATTCCATACCTGTCAGCAATCAAAACTGAAGGGATAAGCTAATGAAAAGGAAATAGTCCCTCTGAACATAAACTAAGGCCTACATGCAGCTGAGGAGCACAGAAATCAACCCCAAGATATGCAAAGCTGGATACAAGACTTGCCAGGGCATTCAGGGTTTCATCTGTCACTCAGCAAGGTGCACTGAAAACAGCGAGAGAATTCAGCAATTACCCCAAGCCCTGCAAAGATTCAGATTTAAGCTCTGGCATGAAGCATTTCCTTTAAATTTTAAAACTGATTGCATGAGAATATTTCAATATTAGTCTTTTCATGTTTTAGTCCACATCTTGTCCCTAAGAAAAGAAACTCTTCCTCCCTATCATGTCATGCCATTTTGTAGAGCCAGACCTGACAAACTGGACAAGGTTAACAGGATAGTGCTTTAAAGTTTAATCCATCCCAAAGTGGAATGGTCTCAAGAAAAACATCAAGCAACAAGTTTTAAATCACTCTGGAAATCTTCAGGCCCTGAGTGTTTGTTTTACAGTCTGTAACACAGGCTGTGAACCTTGAAATGTTTCTCAAGTGAAAACTGTGGTGTAAATTTGGGATTTGAGTACTGCAAGGTTCCAGGTGACTCAGAGTTATGGGCAGTCTTGTAGCTTTTAACACTTTTACCTGGCCATTTAAGACCTTGCCTGGCCTATTTTATCTTTACGCATAAAACTAGTCAAAACAAGATTGTTTACTGGGTGTGGACGGATCATCCAAAAAATTTGCTGATGATAAAGATGCCCTTACCCCCTTCCACAACTAAGGAATACAGTGAGAGCAAGGTGAAGTGGTTTCATATGTGTATAAAGAAAGCTCATTAGCCAGGTTTGAAATTAAAAAGAAACACCAAATTACAGAGTAGTCCAGGCTGGAGGGAACAGTTGTAGGTTGAAGTCCAGCATCCTGCTCAGAGCCAGTTTGTCTGTGAGATCAGGGTGCTCAGATCTTCATCCACTTGAAAACCTACCAGGATGGAGTCTCCAAACCCCTCTGGATACTCTTATTGCTTGACTATCCTAACAGAGGGAAAACTTTACATCCTGTCACACTAGAATGCTTGTCATTCCAGCTGGTCTGCTTCTTACCCTACTGTTCTCCTCAGGCTATTTCTCCAGACCCCTGTGACCACTGACCAGGCCAGCAGCACAGCTCCAGGGGCAGGCAGCCAGCAGGGAGCAAGCAATGAGCCCAACTGCTTCAACAGCAGCGTTCACAGTGGAGGTGCAAACTGCTCTGCAAAACTCCTAAACATTTAGGCCCTACTCCATGTGCCTAAAAATCATCTGCCACGTGAAAAAAAAGGAAAGAAAATAAAGTAAACTTTCTGCCCTAGCCACCTGCTGACATTTGCAAAGAGATTTTCACAGGAAGAAAACTCAGAAATGTACCTTAAAAAAAAAACCCAACAAAACAACAGAAGGAAATTCAGAATGGTCTTGATGTTCTGTTATTCTCAAAAGCAGTAGGGACCTGCAGGTGCTGGTTTTTATGGCCCTCAAGGGCCAGCTCTTGGTGTGAATAGTGGGAGATAAACAAGATGGAAATTATTTGCATCATGGACATAGTGTTCTGTATTTCATATTCTGTAAAGGTTGCAAAAGCCTAACCATGGGTAGGAGAAGGGATTTATTCCAGTAATGGAAAGGGAAGGAGAGAGTGATGAAGGTGAAACATTTTGCTAGCCTGTCACAGCTAATGTAAAATGGCACAGGAATGGGAGCACCACTTTTGAGCATAATAGAAATGGCATAATGAGATTTCCTTATCAACTGGATTAGTTGAAACGTGATTGAATAGATTATGATCTCTGAAAGAAATGGATGTAACTTACCTTAAATTATCAAGTGCCTATGAGAAGGAGACTTATTAATGAAATAAAAAGAATAACCAATACAAAGGGGCTATATATACAAAACAAAAGCCCCCTTCACTGCTCTTGCTCAACCATTCTTGACAAATAGACATCAAAAGACCCATTAAAGCTAGTCAGATGTTACATTAGTCATTTGCATATGAAAAATTATCTGCTTGTCTGAAAGCACCAGTACACAGTTTTGGGGGCATGGCTCCTTTTCAGCACAGAAAATATTACCCTGCACTAGTTATTTAGCTTCAATGTAGAAAAAGATGGACTTGGGTGTGGTAGGAATCCACATGACAGAAAATGATTGCTGGTGCTGGGAAAAAAAAGTAAGGCTTTATATTCTCAGTATTAACTCTGCTGCAGAGGGAATTCCTTTGGTACTTCTCACTTCCCTGGTTCAGTGATGATGACATAAAAACAAATGACAAATGTTAGGGCTGCTTGGGGCTCATCAAAATGATGTATCTGCAGGACCTGCCTCCAGCTCATCTTCCAGCACAGCTCAGTGAGGCTGGGTGCAAAGACAAGCTGCTGGAAGCATAAGCCACCTGATACCAATGGCAATTCTTCAGTCACAGGGAAACCTCACAGTGGAGAGAAGCTGACCTTTGGCTCCTGTTTCACTAAAGACAAGAGTAAATGCTCATTTAGGGCCTAGCATATCATACAAGAAAAATTTGTCCAAACTAATTGGCTTTAGACAGAAGTCATGTCACTCATCCCATTGCCAGAGTTTCCAGTGCTATTCAGAGCCTCACGTAAGAAGATAGAGACCAAAGAGTGTGAGGTGCAAGGAAATCCTGTTCAAGAACTCTTGAGAAGGACAGTACTTTTCACTGGCTATTGGTTAGTGAATCCCCAGTCAAGACACCATTAAGGAAAATTCAAGATGATGAGAAGAAAATAAAGTGTTTCTTACCAAAGTTCCCCAAGCTGATCTCTCTGGTGTCTACTCGCATCTCTAGGGCCTTCACTTGCTGCAGATCATCTACCCCTGCCAAAATTTTCTGTAAAGATAAGCAGAAATATATGTGTACCCTCATGCAATAAACCAGATGTCACAGCAGCAAAAGGGTCTAGAAAGATTTTCAAACAGTGTTTTGTCAACATATATGTCAGGTCAACATGGCTAGATGTGCAACCACATTGAAATGAACACAGTATCCAAAGACCTTTTTTCCTTCTAGGCCCAAAATACTCTAGTCTCTCAAAACTTATACATTGCTTAAAAAGTCAAGGCTCAGGGTTACATTCAAGCTGCAAACCAACAACAGACCTACATGCCAGCTAACTTTATTTAAACAGTATGTCCATGCTTAAAGATTTGCACAAGTCTTGCACTAATCCTCAGCAGATAGAAAGTGTTAACTTTAAACATCTCTTGTAATTCAACAGGTGCTGGTAGTAAAACTCAACAAAGCACACTGTTTACCTTTTGACCCAAAACAATAAAAAAGAAACATGATTTTAGCTCAAGCCACTCACTTTTCTGACAGAAGACTACACTAGTTACAAGAATTATTAATTTCTTTGAAAGTATCTAGGCAATGCAAATAGAGGCCTTCCAAATCCTTCATTATTTTTACAAAATTGTAATAATTGGATGAACCACTGCATTAAGCAAGGATGTGTGTGTGCATGCAGACTCTTTTCTGATCTTTCTTAACATCCTAAATTCTGTGTTGATAGATACACATGCCATGTGCATCATTCATTTACATTTTGCCATGGCAGAGGTAAGCAGGAGGAACAAAACAAGCAGAAGCCATACACAGAGGAGAGAGGGAAGCTCTAAGACTGCCAGTGAAAACCACAGCAAGGCTGTGAAATCCTAAGATGCCAGGCTCCAACTCCACAAGGAGCTGAAGCAATCTCACATCACCACTGCGCTCATCCCGTTTCTTCCTGCTATGATCCAATTTCTCTCTCCCCAATTTCCCTCATTCAGGGAGCACATCCCACCACGTCCTTTGCATCAGCCTAGTTGCATGAATGTTTCAACAAAACAGACCAGAAGAACCATATCCTTTCTTCCTCATGGGTTAGTGGCTCATGGAGGAGTCTGAAACAATCCTTGAAAAATGAGAAGCAAATTTTATTTGTCATGTTAACTGCCTGAAATTGTTGATGCTATACATAGTGATAAAACTTATAAATTTTCACCTTTCTGTGTCAAAATAATTAGGATGTGTGGCTGAACATGTCCACTTCAAAGAAATGTCTGGCCCTGGCATCAGTTTCCTCTTCAATAATGCAACCAAGAGCAGGGGTTGAAAGTATTGTCACCAACCTTTAGGGCCTTTACTTAAGGTGAAGGCAGAAAGTCATTCATTAACCATCACATACAGGAGCTAAATTTTCTCATTATTAAAAACAACAACATTCTTCAGGTTCTTTTAATAAGGGAGAACGTATTCATTAGAAGGGAATGTCTAGGATTACCTCTGCTTATGAGTTTTGGGAAGAAAAAAATGCCACAAGAATATCCAGTTAATTTTGCAAGGAAAAAATGGTGGTTGCAGCATTTCTGCTCATTAGGTAATATTTTTATTGTGCACAAGTGGCTGCATCTTCCACTGATGTTCCACATCCTCTTACAAAGGACTAAAACCAGTCAGTGTAACTGAGATGGCAGTTCAAAAGGACATGGTTTCCAGAAAATGCTGAGCATTCCCTCTTGAAAAGCTGTCCCCCTCTATAAAGTCTGGACTTGTAGTCCTAAGAAACAGAATTAACCAATATCTTCAACTGCCTTTGGACTATTTTTAAAACATTATGTTAAAAATGATTTTTTAATCTTATTTTTAATATTTTAACTGTGATTTTAAACAGGCTGAACATAAGAAAGCTTCTAAGACTCTATCATCACATTCAGCCGCCACAAAATGTGTTTTGCTATGGCAAAGGCAGCAAACTTAACAGCTACAGACAGCTTTCTCTCTCCAAGTGAACACAAGATCCCTCATGGCAAGGCACATTCTGCAGTAACCCTTTTCAGCAGATGACACTGTCTGTCACATAGCACGAGATTATGTGTGAAACAAGAGCTAGCTGATGTCCTGGCATGAAACCATGCACTCGGATTGCTGAATGTGGATGCAAGCTCACTGTCATTAAAGGAAGAAGCTTCTGAAAAATACCGCCCTGCTTGCCATCAAAATAGTTTTAAGAGCCTACATCAGAACAGGAAGAAGTTTCAGAACAAGTAATAAGCTCAGGGTCACACACACTGTCAGTTGAGTAGCAAAAGGTCCTGATACCCCAAGGAGTCTTTGCTCCTTTTTTTGTCCTTTTCTCCTTTGCTGTCTGCAAGTTCCCTGCAGGCTGTCCTTCCCCTGCTGTATTCCAGACAGCCTCCCTGCTCCCTGATTTTTTTTTTTTTTCAAAATCCAACTATAAAACCCGCATGAAGTTATATTCTCTACTTGTTCAGAGTTCCCTATTCCTTTTTTTTTCATACCAGGGATTACCAGTGTCACTCCTTGCCCTCCTTCTCCTCTTCCTGATGCACTGTCTGTACCTTTCCCACTGTCTGAGATGAGCTGCTCAGTGCACCCGTATTTTGTGCTGCAACAGGCAGAACTGTGACTCCAGTGTGGAAAGGGTTATTGGCTGTCAGCACCAGCTCTTTGAACTATAGATAGCTGTCCTGAACCATGTGCTAACCATATGAGACAAACTCCATATATTCTCAGTGCCCACCTCCCTGTTCTGCATTTCCAAGAGTCTCTATGACAATCACTGTCCTTCATCTGCTGATGGCGAGGAGATGCTGGGACAGCTCGAAACCAATTTGCTGTGGGATGCACAAGACAGTGTAGTACATGAAGGAAATGGGAAATGCTCTTGGGTGGAGGATATGAGCTCATTTAAAGGCACTAAAGCACTGAGACCCCAGATGCTGACTGCAAGACAGTCAGAAAGCAAAAGACAGAGCAGCAGTTCAAGAGGAGGATACGTGGGGAATGGTTACTGTGGAAGATTGTTAGGACAGTGCTACTCTCCAGACACCACTCTCGGCATGCTGGTGCACCTGCCTGTGTGATACTTCTCATGTCACAGCTAAAATTCTGACACCAGGAAAGGGGACATTTAGGGAAGGACATGGAAACAATCAAAGATGAAACCTATTTAGCAGGATCTTCTTTCTATGATATTGTTTAATGTCAAAGCATGGGAACCTTCATAAAAACTTGAGAGAAGGGATATTTTTGAATGAATTTTGCTGTAAGAGAAAAGAAGAAAATCCCAACACACTGTAGGGGTCATCAGCTTGAACAGAGAGATGTTTGACATCATGTGGATAGAAGTGATGCTCAATGCTCTGTCTCTCTTCATTCCTAGGCCATTCCAGGTCTAGGACAGGCTCCTGCCCTAATTCAGAGGAGTCCCACTGTGATTTCAGGCAATGACTGCCTGGCCATAGCTTAATGGGCTGTTCTGACAGCCAGGGACAGAATGTCTCTGCCTGTGCCCCAGGAATGCTTACAGACATGAAGGTGCTGGACATCCAGGTGTTTCTTTGGCTGTTTCCATCTGCTCAGCCATGTAGAGTAAACAGAAAGGGACCAAGGATCTGTTCTAGACAAAGAGCAGGATATATGCACAGCTATTTTAGATCAAAAAGATGCCTTGAAAAAAACAATATAATTTTAAGCTGAGTGTTGGTATTCAGAGAGGACTCTGCTTGCCACCCATCTGCAACCCTGCAAGGTAGGTATCAGTTAGAGAGAGATGTTTTATGAAAAAAATCAAACATCAAAACCTTTCTGGCACATCATGCTCAAGAAGGTGGCCTGAAAGGTTGATCCTGAGCAGCAGTTTGACACTCCACTGTAAATTTGTTTGTTTGAAAGGACACATTTCCATGGTAAAGCACTGCACAAGTCTTTGAAGACACTTTGAATACAGGGCAAGTAAAACAAAGACAAATAAACCTCACTTTACATTTTTTCACCTTCTTCAAAATAGGAGTAAAACTATTTTTCATGAAGAATCTATTGGTAAATAATTTAGCCAGTATTTTAAGAAGCAAGCCAATGATGTTTCACAAACCATTCCCACCATGCAAAATGTCTGGCCAACTGGGGACTGTGCACTGGCTTGGAAAGCTTCTTTTCTGACTGACAAGAAAAGCCAGTAAGTATTCTGTAGAAAATTGCAAGTGAGAAATACTTCTGGGCTTGCAGAGCTTCCCAATTGGCAGAGCAGTCACCTGGGGACACTGGGAAATCCAGTTCAAATCCCACTTGCAGCTATCTGTAAATTCCTTAATTGACAAATAATATCTGTTCAGTCAAAACTGGCACACACAACTGATGTCTTCTCTCTCCTCTAGATTTTTCACATACTCTAAGAAAAGTAGGCATGTTGCTGAAGAACAAGTTGCATGCAGCTGTCAGAGAAATATTTCCAGCTGTGCATTTATTTTGCTGATCCTGGTTAATTTGGCTAAGACAAGAATTCCAGAGTGGTGAGCTTGTTCTCTTTGAATACTACACCTGTATGCAAATTCTAAATTCATGTCCATTCATGTGTTCATTGCCTTTTTTTTGGTCAAAGTATAATCTCTCCTTCACCAAAAAAAAAAAAAAAAAAAAAAAGTTGCTAAAAGTAGGAAAAAATATTTCTTCTAAGAAGAAAAATATTGGCAAATTAATAAGCCTTAAGTGATACAATAAAAGGGAACAGAACTTCTCTGTGGCCCCACATGAAAACTTCCTTTCAAAAGGGATAAATGCTGCAAATGCCCATAACTAAAATATTTAGCTGCATTTCTCTACTTTCAGCATATACATATAAATACAGTCTTGTCTCAGCTCAGATGAAGAGATTCATCCATAATGAAGGATTTGGCAGATCCAAATTCAGTCAAATTCAGTTCCTTCCATTCCCTTACTCTACCTAATTTATCAAGATTCTGCACTTTCTTGATGACCAGTTATTTTCTTCAAATCCATTTATCTTACAGCTGTGAGGAAAACTTTCTGCAAAAGAAAAAAGGAAACAATTGAGCCACTTCAGCAAGAATCCAATCTGCTGTTCCAGGACCCTCCAGCATTTTCTTTTTCCCATGAGGATGAGTGCATACCATATGAAATACACCCTAAGCTCCTGAGCAACAAAACTAAACACCACATCCGAACACGTGTTCCTAAGTTTGGAAAACACGATTAGTTGGAGCAGGATCAATAAAAAGCAAAATTAGAGAATACTTCCTTTCCTCTCTAAAGATCACACACAAACGCGATTGGGTTTTATAATGTGACAATGTCTGGAAGATCATTTGACCTTGTAAAATGAGTTTCTTCTGAGAAGCGGAATGCTTTTAGTGGAAGTCAGGAAAAGATCCTTTGCAAACAGCAGGGAGAGGACAGGGATTGATAGAACAAAATAAAAATGTGATTAAAGACAGGTGGCGCCCTTAATTTCAGTTTCTCCACATTTAATGAAAAATCTGTGTCACAGCCCTAACAGAGTTAAAAATTAATTGCCCACTGTTAGCCAATTTTCAGAACAAAGTGAGAATTTGCTCACCCTGGTATTCTACAATATCTGACAACCACACATAAGGATGGGCAGAGCAGGGAAATATTAATAGGAAAATAACTATGAAAATATAGAGCTGAAAATATTAATAGGACCGGTACAAATGGAAAAGCAAGAATGCCTATTCATATAGAGGAAGATTAAAGAGAACACTAGAAAATTGATATTGATATTAGTAGAAAGAATAAAAATGACATCTAATGATATCAACCCTTGCACAAAAAGCTTTTGACCTGTATTTTGTATGAAGGACATTCAAATATAAAAAAATGTTACACAACAGTGCAGCAAGAGAGCTGGCAGCAAGAAGCAACTAGAAGATGTGTTAACATAATGGAAGTACGGAATCATCCAGGATTTGAAGTGAACATTATGCTGAAACAAGACTACAGAAGACCACAAACTCTGTGGTGAATGAGCATAAATTCTAAATGAAGGGATCCACAATGGAGAGGAAGAAAATGGGCAACGGTCCAATGGTTTTGTAGAAGTTGTCTTTTGTTCTACATGATCCAAGAAGGCAAGAAAGGAAAGGAAAAAAAAAATTTAAAAAAAAATCAGTCTAAGCCAAACTTTCCTCTCTTTGGAGGAAAACAATGCAGCAAATGGATAAAAGTGAAGGAACACAAGTGTCACAAGTTTTAGAGAGTTCTTAATAATGCAGACTGATAATGGTTTCACTACAAAACAGAGAGCCATCCCTCTGGAAAAAGGGCAAAATGACTCAAATGTGCGGGCAGAAATCAGGCTGTAGTTCAAGGTGCCAAATCTATCCAGAATCCGCCCAATGAGACTTCACAGCTTCCCCAAACTCAAACCAAACTGGTGCAAGACAGACCATTGTGAGAACATGGAGCAAAGCTGAGTATGTGTCTCAGGAAAAAAACCTTCCTCAGGAATATCCATAAGGTGTCCAAAATTTGCCTACACAACACTACAGAAGTGTGGTGTAGTGTGTCCATGCCCTTATTTGAATGTAAAACAATTTTACTTTAATGAGCCTGTATTTTAAAAGTCTATTAGTTTCCTTCTCAGAGCACTTCAATGGATACAATCAATAACTCCTAAAATATTCACATCAATAAAACAATCAAAAAGATACTACAGTTGTATTGATTTAAGCAAGACAACCTTTCAAACCATTTGACTGTCAATGACATGTGGGTCCTTAAAGAATTATGCATGTGAAAACTTGTTTTGTATTAAATGTTTGAACATTCTGAATATTTGCAAATCCAGAGGAAGTAAATTTATGGCAGCAGTGCATATGTTCAACATAAAGGTCAGAGAATAGATAGATGGGGTATGTTATTAAAACAAGCTATAAACACAGTAAATGTTTCCTTGACAATGTCATGTAGTTTTTCCTCTGAGCAGGAAGTATCCCAGCTATGCCAACACAAATGCTGGGTTCCAGGACAGGAAATAACTATGTCCAGAAAAATTAGCAGGATGGTGTACTTCATTTAAAAGAATCTTTGAAATGAGATTCCTTACAAATGTTAAAACCCACAATCTCAAAAAAGGCAAAACTCAATTATTTAACTTCTTATCTGCATTTTTAAAAAAGTTTCAGAGTAATAAACAGCAACTTCATGGGATATAGGCAACATTGCTTTACATACACTTTTCTGTTTACAGTTTGTTGTGAATTAAAAGCAGCAGAGATTCACAAAGAGAACTTCATGCCAATGAAAGAACTTTTTAAGGGTTTCATTCAGAGTTGATTGAATCAGAGGGCAGCTGTTTTGATTACTCTAATGGGCTTTGGTTTGTGCCCTAACAATACAGACTAATCTGAGAGGCTCCCATCAGATTTATACAGGCTGCTGTAGGCCACAAACACATTAGACTGGTCCAATTCTATGCCAGGTTTTAAAAAAAGATCAAGAAGTGGTCAGAGGTTCTCAGGAGCCCAAGGAAAGCGAATGGCACAGACCATACAACCATACAGCAATTTTTCTCCAGAATGCTTAAAATATCCACTCTGCAAAAAGGGGTTTTTGCACCTTCAACCATTTTATAAACACTAAAAGACTTGTCTAATTAGGGAACAATAGTTCTGCCTAATCTACAGCACATGGTGAGAATGGTTTCTGGAATGTGGCTGGGGAGTGGCTAGGGAGTGGTGTAAACCCACAGCTGGAATATGCTCCTGTGGAAGCTTGTGTCTCCCCACTGGTGCAGTGGATACACAGGGGATTGTGGATGCTTGCAATCACCACCCTGGCTGCTGGGAGCACCTGAACCACAGCCTTGGCAGCCCCATCTGCCTTTCACAAATGCTCCCCAGCAGGAGAGATTCTTCTGAAGGTCTGCAACACAGAAAGCCTCTCTCCCCAAGTTCTGCTCTCAACTCTCCCTTCCTTTAGTGTGGAAAAGTGACATTGTTTGGTCAGCTCTACACATCCCACAGGATTTCACCCTTAATTAGTCCTGAGCAAGTACAATCTAGTGTGCAACCAAGTAGTCTTTCACAAATATTTCACAAAGTGAATTCTTTCATGAAGATTTCAGCATGTGACTCTCTTTCAACAGGCTGCATAGCAAAATCATTTCCCCCAGTCTAAAAGGAACGTGGCTTTCAAATATGCTTTGAAATTCCTCCCACTTTGACATGTATAGAAAGTACTTCTATAATTTGCAGAACATTTTAACTGGCTTCTTAGCAGGACAGAGGATTTCACTAACTCAGAGGAAAAAAACTTGTGCTTTTACAGTTACATTTCCAATCTTTAGAACAAGATTAATGTAAATTCTTTTTCTAATGCTAAGATTCAAGGCACTCCAGATGGCATTAATGAGATCTGTGTAGACCATAATTATGCTACCTGTACTTTTCTTCATGCTGCTTCAAGATTCCTAGCAATAAATACAGCCACAATCATGCTGGGAATACTTTTGATAGGAAACAAGGTGAAAGGAGGACAAACATTTGATATACTTTCATAAGACAGAATCTACTTTACTCAGAAATCTAAATGTCAGAGAGGCAACAATCCACAATCAGTACAATAGCAGTTGGAAGGTTAATACAGCTCTGTATATGCCAGTTTGCCTCTTTCACTTCATTAAAAAGTTGGAAGTCTACTCACCAGTTTCCTGGGGGAAAGATGTTCATCCATAAGCAGCTCTCCATCATCTTTAATCAGCAGACTGGGATTTGGGTTGCTTTGCCAATTCAAATCAGTTTCCTGGTCTTCAGATGAGCCTGGATGAGAAACTCTGTCAGGATTCCACTTCAGGTCCATCTCAACATGCTTTGGACAAAAGGATAACAAGCAGTCGGATTTTTCTACCCATATTTATTATTTTCCTGTCAGCAAAATCTGTTTTGACTAATCTTGCAAGACAGAAAATGCCTGTGGAGATACAGGTTTCTTTAATCAGCACAAACCCAAAGGTATGCATTACATAACATGTTCCTCCTTTTCTTCACCCTCAAGAGTTACCCAAGTCTCACACCCCATTCAGCTTTGAGTGTAAGCTTCCACAGCAAGTTATGTTTGCAGGTACACAAGAAGCTGAGCATGCCTAAAGCTTTGTACAAAGAAGAAAGCTAAGAATAAACAACTCAGGACACCTTTCCAGCCTCCTCACTACTCCACTCATCCTTCTCCAGTGTTAGTGAGCTTCCCATCCACACAGGCTGCCTGCCTACCCATTTCCTCTAGAGACACACGAGCAACACCCAGCAAAACTCTGCTGGACTCCAGAATGCAAGTGCCAGTACCGAGGTGCAACACCACCTCTCAAGCATTTTGAGCTCTGCCTGCAGGTAGCATGGACAAAACCTGTGTTTGCTGTCCTAAATCAAACATCCCAGCACTGTTACTGACTCTAGGTTAGGCAGGCAATGGCTACTGACTTCTAGTTCTAAAGACAGTCTTGGAGAAAATAAATTAAAAATACAATTTAAATAAAATTGTGTTTCCTTCAATTGAGGAATGAAATACAAAATTTGAAGATGAAACACTTCAGATGTGGTCATTCTTCAATTCCCAAAGATATCACTTTCACATAAATATTAACAATTAACTTTGAAATATGAGAGTAAGCATATGTACACCCGTTAGAGTAAAAAAAGCAATCAGCTGTACCCAAATGGTACAAGCATTACTGTGATTTATACAGCTATTTACTACTACTTGGCAACAAGGAAGTATCACAGCTGGAAACACTGCTGTAACAACAAAAGACTAGACTGGAGAAAAGCTGTCTTGCTCTGCTGAAGGGACACCTGCAGTTTTGCTCTGTTCTCCACTGAGAAGCAATATTTATTCTTAGTGCTGGAAAAGTAATTAAATGATCAAGCTAATCATAACTGGCTGACAAAGCATCAGTGGTGGCCAAGACCTGAGAATTACCACTTTCCTTCCTCCTCAGACTAATAAACAGTTAAACAGAGGAGTAACTTCTGTTAGGACAAATAAGGGTTCTGACTGCTCAGCTGGTCATCTCTACTTGAGAGGACTGACTGGGTACAAGGTGAAAGAAATTTGGATCAAAAAGACTTCTTCTTTTGACTGCTGAAGTCCAGTCAAAATTCTTCATGTGCACAAGAAAAAAAAAATTCAAAAGACTGTACTGACAGAAAAAACCAGCAGCTCTTACCCAAGCAAAAACAGCAACGAAAAACTGATGATACACCAAACCTCACCCTGCAAAACCTACTACACTCTGAAGGGAGGAGCCAATCCCTCAGATTTCTAAGTGCTCCTTCTGTACACTTGTCAGGGCAGAAGAAGCCCACAGAAAGCAAACCCTACTTTTTCCAGGTTACTGCACCTACCTGGCAAGCACTCCTACAAGAGAAGCTGACTGCTCAAATGTGCTACACTTAAGCCACAGCAATATTCAATGACTAAAAAACATGTTCAGGAACAAATTCTTCAGAGTCACAGAACTCCTTTCAATCTTTCTTACTGTCTTATAAAATAACCACCATAAAGTGAATTGAGTAGTGATATTTGCAGCTTCTAAAACCTCAGTATGCCTATAGTAGTGTAAGGACAACTTCCATACTTCATCCGATTAGAGGGAAAAGAGACCTCAAAACCACTGTGTCCTGCATTTTAGAAGCAAAGTTACAATACACAAACTTCTATTACCTGCTTCTTTTTCTAAAGAATTCTAGAATTTCTCAGATTTTTTTCCTCTACTTTCTTTAGAACAGGTCAGTATGATTCAGTCAGTATAGATTTGCAAGAGTCATCAGTTGTCCCAGAAAATTAAACCATCTTCTGTGATATGAAGACCTTCTGGTGTTGTCATTATTTTCCCAAGAAGGAATTATTTTGGTCAATAACTGATTTGAAGTAGACTCTTCTTGTTACATACATTCTGGAATCCTTTGTCAGTTGCACAAGACTTGTGTTGGATTGTGTACAAGTACTGGTGGTTCTTTCTAACTCAAATGACAATTGTTATTATCCAGAGATAATCTTGTGCATTATCAGAGCCAAGTGGAGCAGTAGTCAGAGAACACTGATGTAACATGTGAGTGCAAAATGAGATAACAGCAGGATTTTGTAGATGCAGGCTGCAAAGAGTTAACACACTTACATCAAACAAATTACTGTTCTCTCCCTGCTGGGCCATCACCATCACATTTCAGAACATCCTCAAATCTTTGGAACATGTTGATACAGCATTTACTTTAGGCTTGACAAGAAGGAGATCAATTTGTGGCTTAATATCTGAAGTAATACTTTGTTTTATACTTCCTGCTATTGATCTGCTCTTGTAATTATTGTAACATTGGATTAGTGAGGAGAAAAGTATTTTCATTACAAATTGTTCAGGATCAAGTTGAATTATTGTCAGCAAGCAAAACTATTTTTTTTTCTATCACTTCAAAGCTTTCTCCAGAGACTAAAGAATCTCTTTCTGAACATGGATCAAAATAACATGTTCAAAATGAGATTGTAGAAAAATTAAGAGTGCAGAAATCCTAGTGGTGAGGTGCCAACATTTAATAAATCGCACGAACCTCTGAAATCTCCAGCACGGTGTAGGAGCAAGAAGGGGGCCTGGCACATTTGTCCTCCTAGAGACACAGGAGTCACTGCTTGTTTTCATCAGGTCCATCTGATGAACCTACAGCTCTGCCAAACGCACAGGACAAGCCAGCACTGCCCCAAATGAGTGTTGGCCTCAGTGGGACAGTTCACAGGGACTGCAAAGCCTTCTGCTGTCACTAAAGAGCTCTGAAAAGCCACGAACCTGAGGATTTCCTTCAGGAACAAGGTGGTTGCACTGGATGTATGTTGGATCCGTGTGCTGAACAGAACCATTCCCACAGTGCTTTGAGGGACACACAAGGATGGAAGCTAACTGCACCTAGCACAAACCTGCAGTGAATCCAATGGGACAGCACTGCAGTACTGGTAAGCACATGAGTGTGTCAGGGGAAGAGAAAATGGCTGGAAAATAATGGGGCTTTATACTGCATGCGAACACTGAGAGGAATAAAAGACAGAAGGAAATCAATAAATTAGTTATTGCAGGATTTGTATCAAAAGTCTTAACTTGACAGGCTCATACTTGTGTGGATAACTAGAAGCAAACAGTCATGGAGTGCAGGAGAATACAATGACCAGAGCAGTGAGATGGAAGATTTTGAATTCTACAAAGAGTTAATCTGCCAACCTCCTCCAATGCTGCCACTCTCCTTACCCAAGTGAGTGTGTGTAATCATGGTAAGTTATTCAATTCACAGACATGTTGTGACAGTTCATTAAAAACTGCAGGACACTTTCAACATATATAAATACCAGTAATGAAAACCATTATTAAAATTAAATGATCCTTGGAACAACATGTTATTTAAAATCCCCTCAGAATACTGTAATTTGCTAGGAAGAAATTGGCAGAGAATAGTTATTTGATGTTCCTAGGGTCTGACAATCTGGTAAGACTCCAAGATTTTATTTTCCTGCTACAAGATTTATCGAAGAGTCAGCGACAGGATGGTGTATTCTTCATTAAATATATATTAATACTCATTTCAAATTCAGCAATTGCCAGAAATGTTTGACTCAATATTAATTACAGCTTCTTAAGACTGGGAAAGAACCTCTGAACTGTGTGACTAGGCATGTTAATTTCTAATGGAGCCTTCATGACATTACCTAAACAGTTTATCCAAGCAATTAAGTTACCTTTTGAAAACAAAACAACCCCCCCAAACAATGGTAATTAATCAAAATTCACTCTAGGAAAGGCATATACCTCTATATATTAACATCCCATACAAAAAGGAATCTCTACTGCCTCAGACCAGCTTCTCATCCAGCATCCTCTCCTGTTCTGTGGCTACTCATGCCTTCACTGGACACAAAGTGTGCCATTTCAGTGGGGGCACTGCAGTCTCTGGACCCTTATCTATAATTTTTGGTCACTGGCCAAAACATTCTCTAGCAAAAAAGCTCATTTGAGAACCATTGTGCTATTTATCCTTTCATGACAGGAAGCTTGCACTGCAGACTTCCATTTCTCTTGTCTTGTATAATATAATTTTTGTCTGTTTAATTCAGACCCACAAATCACAGTAGTGCCCATACTGTTACCAGTGACACAGAATGAAAACAAAGAATTCTGTATTTACTATGGATTTGACAAAACGTTTGGTTTACAAGTCTCAGGAGAACTATGAGTTCCCTTTCTAAGTGTAATTTTGTACAAGTGCACTGCAGATAACCTCTTCTGGAAAATAACTGTTTGGGCAGCTGGAATTTACTATGATGTCATCAGGAAACTACTGTTACAATAATCCACCCATAATGGCAAAAACAGTTCCTGCAACATTCATGTAATATAAAGCATCCTGCAACATATCACTCTATTTTAGCAGGTGCAGCTTCTAAAAAGCTGAAGAATAAGACATCAGTCCTGTTATTAACACGACTTTTTGTGTGTGTGTGTGTATGACTAAACAATCTGATTTAAATCTTCTGGTTTTGTTAAGCAGAACTAGGTAATGCCTACTTCAGTAATGCTACTTTAATACCAAGGGATCATGCAAAGAGCATTCATAAAGATTCCCTTTCTGTGTCCCACTAAAGAAAAAAAGCTTTTAAGGGAAAGCTGAAATATTAAGATAACAACATCCCATTTAATGTAATTAAAAATTCACTGACTTTAATGACACTGAATGACTCGAGTGCTTACGATGATATTTTTGTGTAACTGGTTCAGTCAATTTGAGACCTTGCTTCAAGCATCCAAATGTGCATATAAAGCAAGTGTACTGATTTATCTTACTTGTTTACCTTCCTTATTTATGATTTTAAATCTATAAGAGTGTTCTGACAGTACTTTGCTATTAAATAAAAATTCTGCTCTACAATTAACACAACCATGGCAAGGTAAGCCTCGGGATCTATGTCCCACAGACTCCTCAGGGAGAGCTCTTGGGAGCTTTGTGGACATTGTAACACCCCCATGCACAGAGCTGAGTTCAAACTGTGCTGTCACTCCAAGTAGCAGTGATCCCAGAGAAGAAAATGCATGCTACAACCCAGACACAGTTGAGATAAAAGATGTCTAATATTACTTAAAAATTAAGTAATAATAAAAAGGCAATGCCTTTAAATGTCACCAAGTTCTCCTTTATATATCTACAGATTCCATGTAGATATATAAAATAATTTCATCATTACAATTGCATATATAATACTTTTCCCCTGAGATCCTGCTGGGCAGGGTGATGAAAAATGTTTTATCATGTGAGCTGGCAATGCCCCCATATTACATAATTCTGGAGCTAGATTGCCAAATGTTTAAGGAAACTTCCCTGTATGACCATCCAGGAGCCACTCTGACATTCACATTCCCACCACCCCAGACTTTCACTGTTGGGAGCAAAGTCTCTTCAGAGTGGGTGACTCCAGTGACCCCAGGGTGCCCCTCCTGGTCCCTGCACACCCACACAGTCAGACAGGGTTTCCTCACTGGCTCAGCCCTGGGTTTCCCATGGGAGAGTCTCAGATGTCTGGAACCCTAAAGCAATTTAATTGTGGTGCAGTAACACAGAAACAGCTCGAGCTGGCACACGTGCCCTCTGCTGTGCAAAGCCCTGTGTCCCCCAGCCAGGGCACAAACCTGCAGCTCCCACTGCAGCTGCACACCCAGCCTCCTGCTCTCAGTGTACTCCTCAACAAAACGTCCTCATAGCAGGATATAAAAGCAAACCACTCTCTATTATATCTTCTATTACATTTCAAAGAAAAAAATAAACTGAAGTCTAATCAATTGGTTTTAGTTTTTAGAGTCCTGTGGTGGAAGGTGGTCAGTGGTAATTTCTGGATGGCTACAAATGTTCGTCGATACTCTCTGTACTGCAAGTCTCCAGAGAGTGGCCATGGATGAAGATGGATTATCTAAATCCTTAGATACTGCAAGATGCTACAGATTGAGGGGGTGAACTTCCTGCTGTAAGAAACCATCTCAAGACACTCTTCTGTTATCTGTCCCCACAATAAGCCCTAGAAAAGCAAACCAGAGAGCAGGATGTGGGGATAGTTGGTAAACAACAAGGGTTATGAAAAACAGAGCTCCAAGGTACCAATGCTTTCACTCTCAGAAAGTTGCCAAATGCACTTAAATTGTTTCAGTGGAACAGATAACAGTAAGTCCCTCACCATTTTATCAAGGTAGCCAGGGATCAGGAAACCAAATTCGACCCTTCATGACCACAAGCTTTTATCTAACAGTGTCCAGACATTAAATAAGGGAGCAATGAGGGTGGTCTAGTTAAAATCCTCTTTTTCTTATGAAGGGGTCCTATCATGGATAGCTAATGACAAGGTACACAGGAGCCAACATATCAGTGCTTGTCACACATACGGATCCTGCCTTAAATGTAGATGTCACTGGAAGATGTATTTACTTTCCTTGCACTTAAAAGACATAATAAGCAATTACTTAAAAATTCAGATTTTAAACACACTAAGAAAGGACATAAGCAAAGCAAGGTTTTGCAGAATCAGTACCTTTTCAAGATGAACAAATATATTCTAACCCATGGACTCAGAACTAAGCGACAGTACAAAGCTACAGAGAAGAAAAATTCTATGGTTTTGGTCTTCATGGCAATTTTAAGTATCCAACATTTATAAGAATTTCCAGATTCCAGCTGAGAAAAGGACAATAAAATGGACCTTCCCCCCCCCCCCCCCCCCCCCCCAGTTACTACTGCAATGCTTTTATGAGCCTTTTGAAACAAACTTCTGTGCAGGATAAAAATGCAACATATATGGCATTTCTGAGTTTCAACATACTCTGGTTGTCCTCAAACAATTTTCAGTCAATTTTGTTTGGTAATTAAGCTATTTAAAACAAGAGATTCCTTCCTGGCCTGCAAAGCTGTTGAAGAGTGGCTGGGAAGTTTCTGATTTCCAGCGTGTTGCTCACATGAGACAGATTGTATAAAAAGAGATAGATTCTAGGGGAACTTGTAGAGAAACACTGAACAGTGGCTGATGCCAATGTTAGCAGAGCTTATTTAGTAACAGACATTGCCAAAATGTTAGCAAGGGCAGAAGACTCACAGTGAAAAGGAACCATGAGAAGTCAGTTTGGGCTACTGATGAGGTGGCATTATAACTGTCCTGCTGGGCCAAGGCAACCACTGTAGTCAGAAAAAGATCCTTTACAAACGCTATCAGAAGCAGAGATAGTCCAAAGTGGTCCTTTCCCTGGCATGCTGCTGTAATTTCTGGCAATCAGTAAATTCCCAGTCCAAAAGGTGAGTAGTGTTCAATGGCTGGGGAGGTGTATGGGGAACAATTATTTGTCATGTTTCAGGGCATGACAAATAGCCATCCAATGACTAAAGAAGGCACAGAGATTTCATCAGGAAGCAGTTTTAAAAACTGAGAAAGTATATTTTTGCATTGTATTTATTTAAATTGTGGAAGACGGGCATAGGTTGCTTGGAGGCAAAATTAGAAATTGGGTCAACAGCAGTTAGAACTATGGAGGATACATCCAACTGCCCATGCCATTCATTAAATTATAGCTTTCTTTTGCATCACCTCATTTCATTTCCCCTTCTCTCCAAAGCATTTCATGGAAAGAATTTCAGTTCTGCCATTTACCCTCCAGGATGATCAGCTTTGCACATAAAATTCAAGATATGGCCATAGAGACAGTACATGAACCTCCACTGTTTTCAACTCCTATTCTCAGCATTTTTAACACTGTTTGACCAGCTGCAAGGTTATATTTTCAGGTAACAAACACAATAGCTAGATGCTCTTTCCCAAGTATCAATAATTTACTTAAACCCCTTCATTCTAAATATGTTTCTTTCCCCCACTTTGAACTTGGCTGGGTACTCCATTAAAATAAAGCAAAACCATAACCAATCACCACATAGGAACGTTTAAAAAAAAAAAAAGGAAACCAAAGTAGTTTTAGAACTCCATTCTAAATACTAATTTAAAACAAAAGATGTAAAATATGCAAGATAAACAGCCAGCTTGCAATACTTTGAATATTGCTTCCAGATGTGAGAAGCTGTAGTCAAAGAAAGGTGTGCTGTCTGTATTTTTTTAAATATCAGATAATGTTTCTGTGAACTAGCTAGAGTCCACAATCTTTTCCCCTTAATACAGACATGTTAGTACTTATTGCATCTGCCATGGCAAATCTGGTCTTCTGATTTGTATAGTAATTGTAATTGTGGCCCTACTGATATAAAATAGGTTTTACTTCCAATTTTTTTTCAAGCCCAGCCCACATGTGACTCCATAGAAGGTATAAAAACACTAACCATTAGAATAGTAAATGAAAATCATGCAGATATCTCTAAATAATTTCTGTGAAAAGCTCATTAATTTTCCTATTTAAAAAAGTAACCTCTTTAAAGTTCCTAACAAATAAATATTAATCCATTCCACTAGTGACAAATGTAAATCCCAAATTTATGATATGTTACATAAGTTACTATTTTGCAGCACTTTTACACTACTTCAAACACTGAGGATAAATGTGATTTCTTTAACTGTGTCCCCTAAGGAACTTCTGTTAGAAAAGCACGTGCATCATCATCATCAATAATATCATTCCAGTCCAATGCTAAACTCACATCTGGTTTCACATGGAATCTGCATCCTGCTTTATATGGGATCAGGTCCCTTGAATTATTGAATAACAGGCTGATGGCATCCCAGGCCATGGGCAGAGCCTGTTCTTTTACTGACAGCAGTGTTCAACTAACAAACTGAGCTGCCCACAGGAAGGTGTACCCATCTATCAATCCCTTGAGAGGTCAGACCTACAGGAGCATTGTCATTCTCAGTGTTAAAGCCAAGAGAGAGATCACAAAGTCCAGAAAAAAAATCACCACAACAAAAAAACCTCCACAACAAAATCTGTTAATGCCAGCAACTCTGAGATCAGACATGCCTGAACACTGTACATTTAATCCACAATTTTAGGCAAGTCGAAACCAGACAAAATAACATGAAGAACAGTAATACCATTAAATGGGAGAGTAATTTTAAAAGGGTCTGAAACATTTTCAGTAATTTGTACACTTTAAATTACTTTACCTTTTCTTCCAATGCCACTGCTGTTCTGCATCATTTCCCATTCCTCTCCTACAGAGATTTTAATTTAGTAGTCGCAGCTGTTTATCTTCATTTATCTTGACTGACAGGTGCTCATAGTGTTATTTAATTGTACCATGTCCTGCTAAAACAATAGTAAGAACACAATCTTCAAGACAACAAAAAACAAAACAACAAAACAAACCCAAGAGAGTCTGAGGACTTAGCAATTAATAAAGAGAAGTACTTTATTCACTGTAGGAGCAGAAGTCCATGCTCAATAGGGCTTAAAAGTGGAACAGGACACGAAGCAGTAGAGCCTAGAAGAGCTTAATGAAAGCGTAACTCATTAGAGTTCCCAAAGAGACCATGAGAAGGTGAAGGACTTGATAGAGAAGGAGCTACATAGTTGGGGAAAAAGAAGCTTTTTACTGATCAAAAGGAACACTGATTTTCTGGTAGGAGTAAGTTGATTCTGTGTTAGAGAAAACATTGCCACTGGGGTAGCATGGTATAAAAGTTTAATGTCAATATTTAGCATACTTTCGCTGTATCAGTTATCAGAAAATATTGCCATATAAAAGCAGTCAAAATGGAAAATAATAGGTGAGCAGGAACATTTCTATCAAAAATCAATAGCTATATGAGACAGGTACAGAGCCAGGAGAGCACAGGCCTCACAGACAAGACAAAGGGAGAGCTGAACGTATCCAATTAACTAATTACTGACTGCTAAAAACTATGAGGAGGAAAGAAAGTTTCTTGCTGACAGAAATAATTTTCCATACCACAGAGGGGTCATGAGCAGGGCAGGGACCACACCTGAGCCCTTTCTGCGAGAAGCTGAAGGAACTTTAAAGCCCTAAGTTTGGCACTGGCAAGGCTCTTCAGCCCTTCAAGCGCAGCTGAGGGGGCACCGTGGAGGAGCACACCCTCTCAGTGTGAAACACCGGGGGATATTTCTACAACTTACATCGGCCCAGGATTAATTATTCATTAACTTCGTTCTCCTCAGAGCTCCACCAAAACATAAAATTTAAACACGCTGTTCCATCTACGAGAACATAAACAGAGACTGTCAGTCTCAGACCTCAGGTGTTTTCCAGCTGCACATAGGCTGGATTGCTACAGTGATGCACATGCTTTGCTGGGATTTTCAAACTCTGGGAAGCATTGGAGGTGTCGCGCCCCGGGCAGTGTGTCCCACACGGACACCGTGGCCCACACAACGGCCTTTTCCCAACGCCCTTAACCGCGGTGCACAAGCCCTGGGAAAGGAGGGGAACCCAGCCTCAGGCTCACACCCCCACAGGCACAGACCCCTCCGGGCTCCCACCCTCTCTCCCCACAGGCCGGTTCCTACCTGCCGGCCGCGCCGGGGCCGCGGGGAGAACGGGAGAGCAGCGGGGAGGGAGCGACAGCGGCCGCCCGTCGCCCGGCAACGCCGCGGCCCCGGCACCTGGAGCGGCCCCCGGGCCCGCCCATCCATCCATCCATCCGTCGTCCGTCCGTCCGTCCATCCGTCCTCCCTTCGCAGCGGCCCCGCCCGCTGCCTGCGCCGGGAGGAGGAGGAGGAGAGCCTGAGAGCCTCCCGAGGCTGGAAAGGTTCAGGGCTCGGAGCAGCAGAGCAGCGCGCTTGCAGTGGGAAAAGCGGCGAGGCAAACAGCGGGAGCAAAATGGGGGGAACAGAGGTGGGCACGGAACTGAGGACAGGAACGGGACGTGAAAAGCAGCAGGCCCTGTGTGGGACTTTGGTGACCTGTGATCACACGGCTGAAGGAGAGGTTGGGGACATCCTCTGTTCTTCACAACATCCAAAACCTTTGCCGGCCGATGAATAACGACATCATCATGCACAAAGGTGATCCCACACTCCTGCAGTGTGTGCAAAAAATGCAATTTGTGGCAGATAACAAGGCTGGTTTCACCAAATGATTTTGCATTAAAAAAACAAAAACAAAAAAACCAAAACCCCCCAAAAAAACAACAAAGAAAACCCCCCAACCAACCAACTAAAACCCAAACAGACTGAAAGAGTAAATTTCCAGACCAGAAATGTCAAAAGATTAGACACGTGAGAATGAAGTTTGTAATAATCTGGATCCAACAGATGTGGTTCAATTTTGTTGGTGACATCATTAAGCATCTCAGTGCAAGAGGGCAGTTCTTACCATTCTCACTCACAGAGAATACCTACATTTCCACATTTCAATATAGGATTCATAAATCAGACACCTAGGAAGATGTGATTCCTATCACATCCTCTGAGGTGCTCAGTGGTCCCACAGGAAAAGCCTGCTTTTTCAGGGCTTTACCTTCAGGATGGTCCCCAGCATTTTCTCAACAACAGCCCTTAGCAGTGTTTCTCTCAGGGGCAGGAAGGCAAGAGGCCTGGAGGGAAGGCACAGAGTCCTGCCTGCCACGTAGTAGCTGCTGGGGTTTTGACTACACTGCTTGCATGCAATTCACCCCCTCACACCTTCTTCGTGAGGATGTGGGAGGGCAGGAGCTGCTGGTGGATTGCATCAGCATTTCCTCTATAACTACATTCAATTTACTCTAGGGTTTGGAAAACACTTAAACCATAGGTCAGGAAATGTGTTGACTCCCCTCCTGCAGGGTCTGACGGTCAATTAACATGAGGGAGAATCACCAGGGGCCTGATTTTCCAAGGTGATGAGCACACTCAGCTGCACCTGCTGTCACTGCAATCCAGCTGCCCGTCTTCACAGGAAGGAAGGCAATGGGCCTTGACGTGCTCCAGGAAGGTAGTGTGATTCAGTGAAAACAATACTGAATCAAGCATCTGCCCCTGGAATTTTATTCCCAACTCTGCCATTTTTTTCCCAGGTAACTAGCTCAAATCACCTTGACTCAGTTTCCCAACATACACCTTCTTGGGACACTCTTCCCAAAGATTATCTGTGGATCACATGTATTGTATTGCGTATGCACACATCTGCATGGCAATTTTCTTCTTTTTCTTATTTTGCTAGAAATAATCTACTTATGGCCCACACAATCTGAACTATTTGAAACCAATTGAAGAAATGCATCTTTCCATCACTGAAGAAGAGAAAATTCTGGCACAATTTCAGGGTGGATAGAGAAGCTTTATGTCTCTTTATTCAGAGTTACTGTAATTGTGCTGGCACCATTCCCAGAGCTGAGCTAAGGTCAGTGAGAAATCTGTAAATTAATAACTGTGAAGCTGATGTGATGTCTATGCAGGAACCATGTTGTACATTCATGAAGCTTTATAGGAAAGAAAAGCAATGTTTCAGTTTATCCAAGAAAGTTTTAGAATCCTAGTATTGACAATTAGCATACCTTGGACCTATGTGGAGACAGTGGACCTGCTTCTGATCTCACCTTCACAGGAACTCCAAAATATGTGTTACTCTGGATTAATTCCATTGGTCCTACCCAAATGAACAGGAATTGGGTGAAGCCTCCTCTGAAAGCCAAGCCTAGATAAACATCCTTTTCCTTTGGGAGTCTTATTTTACAAGAAGAGATTTGTCTGTTCTTCTGGTTTTATTCAGTCACAAGCAACATCCATTCAATTCAGTCTATAATTAATATTATTGATCAATAGATAATCACTGTTGCTACTTGCATAATTAACATTTAAGAATTTCATTGTCCTACAACTTAGAAACACAGAACCAGAGGGAATTTTCTGGTCAGAGGAAAGTTTTCTGCTATAGCATATAACCCAGACTCATTTAGATATGTATCAGTGTCTCCCCTCTTCTGAAAGATTGTTTAAAGTGTCTCTCTAAAGATGGTTCCCCCTGTTGCCTGATCTCTCACCCTCATTAGTAAGCACCGTAATCACCTTTTTTCTTGTGAGAATCCCTTTTCTAGCACAATTAACAATTTCATAGAATCATAGAATAGTTTGAGTTGGAAGGGGCCTTTTAAAGGTCATCTGGTTCAAGTAGGTAATACAGAACAAGGATATTCATCTCCATTTTATACAAAAAGACAAAAATCAAAACTAATCTGAGATTAAGTGGAGAACTCAGCCTACAGTACTGCCACCCCCACCCAGACTGCAGTTCTGCTAGAAAATTTTCCCATCTTCTTGTATTGCATGATAAGCAGAACACTGCCAGCTTTGGTAATTCTTCTGCTGGTTAAGAACTAGCAGCTACTGTCGCATTTTCAAAAAAAAAATCAGCTCAGGTCTGCAGAAACAGCTTTGAAGTCTCGACCGTGGCATTAACCTCATGGTTTCACGTGATTGAAGTCACTGTGTTCAGGAGATGATGTAAGAACAGTTTCGACCACAGCAGGTGTTGAGAAGTTCATCCTCAGAAGCAATGAACGAGGCTGAGAGACTGATCCAAAGATCCGCAGGATGACAGGAGTCTGCAAATTGAATTTATTTTTCTGTTACTGCACCTGGCATGAAAAGAAAGGGCAATGAGAGAATTCAGTTAATAAAACATCTTCTCTGATTCAATGAATCTGGGCGTTTGTTTTTGCTCCTTTTCACAGGCTTATTTGAATTCATAAACTGCAATCAGAAAGGAAAGCTTCATCAGAAAACATTTGGCATTTTATACAAAGCTGTATCTTTTCAAACTGAACTAGACCTGGAAAAACTTTTGATAACAGTTTTTATAGAGTATTTGAACTCACACTGAAAGATGGGCATCCATAGTTTTATGATGTCCTTGCTTCTATAAAGAAGTGAACCAAACTACTGATGTCACCAAAGTGACACAGAAACCGTGTGTGGCCTTTGAAGGTGACCACACACTTCTGAGGTCCCGAGCCAGTGCTGAGTGACAGAACCTGTCTCCTCTCACTGCTGCAGGCTCGCTCAAGGAAAGTGAACACCCTCCTTGGCTTGGTAAATTTTTGGGGTACTAGAAGGCAATAAAAACACCAAGTGGTACCTTGTCCTGGTGTAGGGTCTCTTAGGGGAAAGGTGAGCTTAAGACAAGCTTCAATTGCGTTGGGATATCTCTTTAGCTTAAATCCTGACTCAGCTCTGCTGGGAGGGAAGAACTCTGGCAGAATCCCACTTATTTTAAAGCAATACCAAGTGCAGATGCCACACCACAGGGATCTTTCCTTCCTTTGTGCTATTGCTTTAGAAAAGCAGATTCTGGTTCATGACCAAGAGATTCTACTCAGAAGTAGTTGCATTACTGTGCAGTCAAGATGATTGATTGGGATGAAAGACATGGGGTAGCAAAGGTGAGATAGGGCAACATATTAATATTTGAGCCACTGAGCCAGAACTGCCTAATTCCAGAAGGGCTTATTTCCTATTTCTACCTAAAGTATAATGAAAAGTTGTAAATAAATTAATAAATGTAATATTTTTCTCCCTTTACATTTTTACAGGAAAAAGGAAACAAAAGCTTCTTATCTGAAAAAAATACCGAGAGCCAGAAAAATATGCTTATACTCCCTTGTTTATTTAATTCCTGACTCCAGATGAATAAATGGTGACTTGAAATCCCTGTGTAGAAGTTATTATTATTTTGTGCCTCTGTTCAAGGCCCCCTACCTTTCTCAGTTTCTTTTGGGTCAAACTATTTCCTGGTTTTGGAAAGCTCAAGGATGCTGTCTGCACACATGTGCTTTTCCAGTGTATGGTATCCTGTCCCATGGTATGGGACAAGTCCAAAGCTTCTCTGCAACTGCCAGATGGTAATTTTTATCAAAGAATTGGTAGGTATAAATCCCATGTTGTTACAACTCTAGTACCACTACAGGGCTTCATTCAGTTTAGCTGTATCAGTGTGCTTGTTGTGGTAGGATTCCTCTGCAAGAGAAAGTCTTGCTGAGAAGCCTTAAAAATGACAGACTTAAAATTAAAATATAAAAGGAAGAGCACTGGCTGCAGGATTAACACCCCTGGGACACAGAATGTCTCTTCCTGATGATATTTATAAGCCACACCTGGACCACATTATTGGTGGTCCTTGCATTTCTTCTGGGATGAATTCCATGGTCAATGATTGAGTTACAACTTTGTTTTCAACATTAAAGTAAGGGGAAAATGAATTGACGTTGGAAAGGAGTTATAGTCAGTGACTCTTCCACCACAGTTTTTCAGGAACAACATTTGTTCTTTTTTCATCGCTTGCTGCAGAGTAAAGGAACCTGTGGCCTCATTGCACTTTTTAGGTTTGTTTCTCCAAGCAGGATTTAGCAGTGAAATTCATCTAGCTGTTTTCAGACAGGGGAAACAGCAGCTTTCCAATGTGTACTTGCTTTTTGTGCCAATGCAAAGCCACCATAAAATGTTACTGAATCAGAAAGGGGTTGTTATTTTCACTTCCCATCAGTGTGACAACATATGATGTGAAGGAGTGGAGAAACTGGGGCTTTAAAAAAATTTAATCAGGTCAAAGCACCAGTTTGCATGCCATTACACCCCTAGTTTGCATGCACTTTGCACAGTTCAAAG